CCATCCGCCCGCCACACTACCGAGACACAACAATGTCCGCTGAGAGGTTCTGCCTCCTGCAAAAATAGTGACACCTTGCTTTCTTTTCTTTTCCGACCCTGTAGATATATGTACCAGTGATCTCTCTCCTCCGTTATGTAGTAAACAGATCTCGAAAGGGTCTTATTTACTTCCTTTCGCGTCTATTGCGCCGTCTGCGATTGCTGCGCAACTTCAGGCTGTAGACTATAGAAATACGTGAACGATGATCGACGTAGCAAATAGAGTCCGTAGTTTCTGCTCGCTGGCATCGATTTGAAAATGTAAATTTGATTTTCGATAAAATTCTAGTCTCTCTTCTCGTTGCTGTTACTCTCTTTTGTATCCTGAGTATGTACCTGGATAACCATCTAGTGGGACAAGCCAGCACGGAGAGCATAAAGAAGGCGAGGAGGTATCAAGGCGTACGAGTGGTCGCCACTTGGAAATTTGAGTGTACTCCTTCTGTTCTGTTCTATATATCTTCCTCTCTCTCTCTCTCTCTCTCTCTCTCTTGGCCGCGAAACTCTCTTCCTCCGGAGTTCTTGTCCCGTCGGGACGCGGGGCAACTGGTTTTTACATGACACACAGGAGCGTTGTGCGAGCAACTCACGCTACATTGTACGCCGCCACAAAACGTAGTGAGCGAGAGCGCAGCCCCGTCCTGAGCGTCGAGGGAACAAAACGACCCGGGTACCCGCGACTATTTTGTAAGGGGGATCGTATTTTAAGAAGTTGTAGGAAGCATGAGTCCGCCGGCCAGATTAAGGCCATACGTCCTGCGCTCGAGAAGTAGACACACGCGCTTCCCTCTAGCTCTGACTATCGTATTCTGGCTGGCCAACTCGCTGGCGCCGCGCTTGCTCTACTAGTCTCTTCCTGTTGCCGCTTTTACTACTGGCTTTTGTTTTTCCTTGTGATCCTGGGTGCTTTTTCTGGGTGTTTTCTTATACATATATCGTTTCTGTTTTTAATATCGACTGTTCGTCCTGTGATACGTTCGATAACGTATTGGATCCGTGGATCGATACGCAGGCTTGACGGTGGTCGATATCTGAAGAACCATCAACCTTTCACGTTGCAGGAAGTCAGAAGGAGAATACCGGGAGGAGTAGTGGTCCTGAGGAAGGAGGAGAGCCTTGGAGGAGACGTATCACGGACACGGCGGACGAGGAAGAGAACGAGGAGGAGGAGAGGGACTGCTCGAGGAGGATGCAGAAGGAGGCGCGGGGCGCCCGACGTGTCCTGGAGCAAGGAGCGGGGAGTAGCGGGCCAAGAGGCCCACGATGATGGCGGAATATTCTCTACTCGGAGTAGCAAGCTTGGGAGTCCAGGCGGTCGCGAGACACCGGGATCCTCGCTACGGCCGATAGATGTAAACCAACGAATCCCCAGGGACTTTACTCGAACTTATTGCTACCGGGATTGGCACGGGATTCGTACTGGGGTACGAGGTCCATCTCGAGCGGACATCCGGTACTGAAGGAGACGAGTGAGAAGCGAGGAGCCACGGAAAGGCACGTCTATGCGCCAATAGACATAGAGAAAGTGAGAGAGAGAGAGAGAGAGAGAGAGAGAGAGAGAGAGAGACAAGACTTGGAAAAAATATTGAAGGACGCCCTTCCGAAGAGATTCAAATTGAAATCCGTGAGGGCACCTTGAGCTCCATCGCGAGGAACATCATCTCCAGAGGCAGCCTCCGGACACCTGGACTGGACGGCCTCCCGAGTTGTCGTGGGAAGCCCGGGGGTTGTGGGGGCCACCACGGGGGCGGGGGTGGGTCAACCCCTGCTTCTCATCATCACACTCCTGAGCCTCTCGCTGTCCACAGCTACGTTATCCCCGGAGGCTGTGCATCCTGCTACGGTACCCGGAGCACCAGGATCAGCCAGTTCCAAGCTGATTCCGGATCGTCGAGTTCTCTGGAGAAGAGGCGAGAGGCGTTCGTCGATCGAGGAGAACGGGGGCATCACCTGGCACCAGGACGCGCCGTCGTCGCTGCCCTTGCGCGAGACCGGCTTCCATAGGGCTCAAGGGTCCGGGTCGGCCCAGGACCCAGAGGATGATTTAAGGAAAACCCAAAGTGTTCACGCGGATCAGGATTTCGTCGGGAGACCCAGTGAGAGGAAGGGCGCAATTCTTGAGCCTGACAGTTTCGCCGGACTCCGGGACCCCGCCGCGGAGCTTGGCTACATCGAGGACGACGTGAACGCGGACGTAGGTAGTGCTGCGGGGGTATTGGAACCTGCAGGAAACGGGAGCGGGAGTTTGTTCGGTACGGTAGTGAACGAGAGGAGTGGTGAGGTCGTGAAAGCGTTGGGTGCTGGTGTCGAGGGGAGTACAGTTGCCGGGCCGATGTCATCGCGGTCGTATCCTGGAGAGCCGGGTGCTGGACGCGCGAGGACACACACGAGGGGTCCGAGCTTAGTCGATCGGGAAGAGGACGGTGGCGAGGTCAAGGTCTCTACTGAGGGTAAGGACGCTACCACGACGCAGTTGCCACCACCGACACAAGACACCTCTATGGAAGCACGTGAGTAGCCATCTTCGATCAGTCTACCCCAATCGAGCCCATCTACCATTTAACACATCTTCCTCAAATCAATCCCAGATACCTATATAACAATTCGCACATTGTAGATCCCCCTGAGGTTGCTCGTACCGGGACGTCACACTTCTGACTTCCAACTTCCGCTCCGCTGAACTGTACCCGACCTGCTCCTTCGTGAATCCAATATCCTTTGATCGTCAATTCATAAGGATGCCTCCTCACAGGATCGTGATAACTCCTAGCTCTCAATACTTGGACGCGAGTACACGCTCGCCTCGTAGCTCAACGTGCAAAGTTAGGTGAATAGTTTGTGAAGCTGATGACTACCAGGACGACCTGTCGCATCGTGCCACGTTAAATTCAGAATCCAGACCAGGTTCAGGACTGGGATTATAAGCGAGGAAGAAAAGAAGGTACCAGGGAAGATAGCGTACATCCGTCTTGACTGGTCGGAACGAGAAGAAGAATAAGGGCGAGGATGATCGTGCCCCCAGGACGACGCGGAGGGGGTCGGCGCGGGTCGGAGCCACGCCGAGAAACGTGCGCCTCGTGTTTTCGATTTACACTGGCACAGCCGCCGTACGGCTCGTGACTCTGCGTATGAATCAGTCGGCTATTTTTTTCGCGCACCCGTCTCTCCCCTCCAACCTATCTCTTCCTCTTCCTCCACTTGGAGGGAGCGACAACGGGGACTAGGAGCATCGTGTGTAATACTTCCATTCTAACCTAACCCCATTGGCACGTTTCTCCAATCTCGAGCGACTCGCTGTCTCATCTTCTCTTTCATCATCATCCTTGCTTCTTGTATTTCGAATTCTCCCGCCTCTCGCTCTCGGAGCCTCCTACCCTCGCGGGAACCCCCTATACATTCCACGACGACCTATTGTTTCCCCTGGATCGTCACGTGGCGTCGTGTCACGGTACCCGTTGCCAACGGGTGACTGCTGTCAGTACCAAGTACCGCGAGAGTTCAGTTCAAGTGGAATGACTAAATGGGACTGACTAATCATCCGAGCACGCAGAAACGTGGCCCTATTTTCGCTGTTCTTTAAAAGCAACTCTAGGAAATCGTTCGCGCTTACTATTAGCAGACTTAGCTAGTCCCGGGGTATAACGGTGCGATTAACATTTAATTTTGTAAAATCTTAATAATTTCAAAATTATTAAGATATTAGCCAGCAGTCGTTCTTACCAAGCGGTATGGCTATCGAGGACGTAGAATGTAGTCGGGGTGTGTCTGACGTATTTCTCATTTTAATTCTTCCCTTGGCGGCAGGAGGGTGGGAAGATTGAGAGGCGCGGGAGACGCGAGAGAGGAAGCCGTGGAGGAACCTATAGGGACGAACAAGGGGGAAAGGTCGAGAAAGCAGAAAAGTATGTAGTACGATTGGTAGGAATGGCAGAGGAGGATGGCTGGAACGTTGGCAGGTTGGCGAGAGGTAGAGAGAGAGAGAGAGAGAGATGAAAAAGGGTTAACGTCCTTTGGTTTACTCCTTGGCCGTTCTCCCTTCGGTTTCTCTCTGTCCTCGCTGTCTCTCTCCTTCTCGTACCATAACCTCTCCCCTCCATTCCGTCCGTCCGGGGCATTTATTATTCATCGCTCGGAAAATTTATATACATCTTGGCTCCGTCATACTTAACTTTCGATTTACTATTCCAGCGCCCTTCGCTTTTTGCCTACGATGCATGTCTGATGTATTCTATCCTCGCTTCTGACTTCAGGTACGAGGTTTATTCCGTACCCGCTTTCTTATGCTGGTTTTATTTTTCATTTTCATTTTTTAATAGCCAAGCGCGACACGCTTTCAGCCTCGGGTCGGTTTGCGCGTACCAGCATCCCTTGGTCCATGGACGCGCCGGAGCGCGAGGGCACGAAAGGTCCGCGGAAAAAATGGCGATTCGGATTTACTTGGAGAGCAGAGAAGTATCAAAGGGATAGGGACCGAGGGGGAAATGGCGAGAAGTGGGAGATTGCGAGAGGGATGCTTAAGGGTAGGAGGGTGTAGGTCAAGGAGAGAAAGAGGGCCCCTGTTATGGGGGAGAGAAAGGGCTCGGTTGCCATGGTAACTCTAGCACCGTGCCGAGCGCGTAGGGTGACTCAAGTTTTTTATGGGCTCGGATGAGGGCCGAGGGGCAGGGGACTCGAAAAATCGTTACACAGACCTAGATACCCACCTCGGGGCCCTATCGACCCCCTTTTTACACGAGGCTCCTCTTCGGCGACCCCCTTACGCAATGCCACCCCTCGGTTACCCGGATAGGAAATCCACGAAATTCCAACCCTTCGGCTTCCACACGCGATAAACCGGATGCCGGAATTAGGCCGAGGACTTGCGGAGGATTCGCTCGGTGGACTACCCTTAAAATTCATGGGTGACCCCTTGTCACCACGATTATAACTTTGACACACTAAGGAACCTGTTTCCGTAACATGTTTCTTTTTTCTTATACCAAACATCCTGCATTCTTCGTTCGGTTTTATTATTCCGGGGGTGAATTTTTTTTAGGTCTTTGCAACCCTGTCGGAGTTGGCGAGGTTGTCCACTACTTTTGTCAAACCTTCCCCCTCGCTCTCTGGCTCAGCACTAGGGTAAATACTACTTGTAGCCCTTCCTTAGCCACCCCCCATCCTGTCGTAGGCTCAAGGGGCCAGAAACAAGCTGCAAGTGGAGTTACGGCTGAGGAAGAGAGCAGGATTTGGAAACGCGTCGATGGCGAACTGAACTCATCAGGGGTTGGTCGGTGAAGGGGCAACAGCAGAAACGACAGGAGCAGTGACAGGGACGTGGACGGGGACAGGAAGTGGAGGGTGCTTGGGATCGGTCGCAGGGCAGATTGCACCAGCTGAGGGGTAGTCAGCGCCCTCCGGCAACGAGGGACGTCCATCCTCCGTTACCATAAAGTATTGACTGACTGTGGTGCAGAAGCACCTATGCAGTTCAGGAACGTAGGGCTCCGTATGGAAGTGCAACCGAGAACTCCATTTTCTATTTGCCCCTCGCCTTCCCCAAGAGCCATGGGAATAATGCCACTTCCGGTGCCGTAAAAATACCTTTCAACCTTTTAAATCCACCCCTAGCGGCGCGAGTCTTTCCCCTACATTCTTCAAGAATGGCTCGATGATTCCGACCACCAAGCTCCTGTCTTTCTTTACTCGTTATACCGGTGCACCCCCCGCCCCTACACTCCGACCGCCCCTGGACCCCCTACCGGATGCTCGATACGGGATTTACCAGTGTAAAAAGAATCTGTGTCAACGACAAAGACGCAACGATATTCCGATGAGGTGGCACCCTTAGCCAAGGGAGATCATTCCAGACCATTTAATTCATCGTCGCGTACACAGCTACAGCCTATATCCGATTTCGCTTTTGTAAAGCCACCCTTAGTCTGCGGCGCCATCTACCTTAGTCCCAATGATTCGCCAGGAGGGCGGACCGGACTGACGGAGATTGGCAGATATAGTCAGTCTCGGAGCTGGGGTCAGTCCTTTGGAGAAGTGACTTGGGGGTTGAAAGAGAGCAAAAGAAAAGATAAGGGTTGGGCATCGGAGTAGGTAAAAAAAGGGACAGACGGCAGTATGTGTATATAGGTAGGCAGAAGGGGTAGGTAAAATGGTGCCAAGTGCAGAGAACTGGAGCATCGACCAGCCGTTACTACCCTCACGCTGCCACCCCTTGTCACTCCTCATTTCCCGGTTCGCTCGATACTCGTGCCATTTCCCCCAAATCCAACAAATCTACTCCCTAGGCTGAATTCTACCCGTAACCCTAATGGAAGGCCACCCAGACTAACCAAGTCAAAAAGACTCTTTCGTTATAGTTTACTTGTAGAAAATTAACAGTCACTCCCCGTTAACGTCTGTCTGCCGTCAGCCGACGTAACTTATTCGAAGTAACCTTTGAACTGAAAATTCTACATGCCGTCTGCTCTTCGTAGGAGTTCCTCGAAATATGCCCGGAGTCGTAGGAAAACGCGTAACGGAACGATCGAGTCGGTACGGCTGGCAGAAAGAGCGAGAGAGAGAGAGAGAGAGAGAGAGAGAGAGAGAGAGAGAGAGACCTTTGCGTCATCGAGTCGTAAAGAACGAATGCAGCCTGCTCGCTCGGCAGACTAAACAAAAATAAACCCTGCCGTGCCTCTTGCCTTCCCTTCCTCCTTCCTATTACTCCTGTTCTCCTCGTATCCTCACGGCTCACGAATCCCTTAGCCAACCCGCCGGCAATGACATAAGTATATTTTCAGTGCTAAGAAATACGGGATCGCCAAATTACGAGGAGGTTAACCGACACGATTATGCTTTACGTGCTCTATAGCTATTCGCTGACTTTACGTACCTCTAAGCTTCCTGTGCCCGGTGACTCTCTTGCATTTTGTGCTTCGTGACTTTGACAACTTTTCTTTGGCATTCCAGTGAATTTACAGGTTTCTTAATACCCACAGGGACAGACTCTGCTCTCTGCTTTGTGTCAGCATGCTACAGTTTACTTATTATACCTATATATACATATTGTTGAATGTCTAGTCTACGTCTAGCCGAGATCCTTGAATGAACGTCTATTTTTAAATAGTGCACGGATAAACAAGAGGCGCTTTACCAAGATGGAATTCGAGTTGGCTGGCCGAGTCGTTAACGACATTGAATTCGTATCTTGGATATCCGTAAAAATTTATATATTTTCCCTCGTTTCCGTGCAGACTCAATGATCCGTCATTGAAAAAAACAAATGGCAGCTTTAACGAAGTGTCACAATAAATTTCACGAATTTCGATAACGAAAAATTCGTATAAATTTATGAAAAAAAAAAAAAAAAAAAAAAAAAAAAAAAAAAAAAAAAAAAAATCCAATTCGCGCAAGCGAATACGCCTTACCGAAAAGCTCGGGATGACAATTACCTTTACATTTTTCCAACCTGTCAACGTGGCCAGTTTAAGCTCGTTTACCTCGTTCCCGATATTTCTCGAGCCGTTAGACTTAACGA